GGGTCCAGGAAGGAACAGGGAAGGGAATCCCAGGCCTGGAGAGCAACTAATCCAGACTAGAACTGAAGGCTAAAAAGAAACACAAAGGAAGAAAAGAAATTGTATCATCTAATAGATTTCACCATGAGGAAAATGTTACAAGTTGTTGGAGGGTGAGAAAAGACCTACAAATAGAAACTAGGAAAACAAAGCAAATGGACAGAGAGGCGATTAATTCCAGGAGAAACAAAAATTTATTCAAGAATTTGATCATAGTATATTACTTGGCTCATCGATAGTATATTATGAGCAAAATAATATAAGCACTGAATATTGATTTAACCAAAAATTGTGATATTGGAAAAATGGGAGAGAGAGTAGGAGAGAGCTTAATCCTCATCTAGCACAATAGGAAATCAATAAATAATGTCTAAATTTGATGAATCAAAAGATAGCAGTGTTAGCATTTGATTTAGAAATGCAGAGATAAGAAGAAACAACTACAAGAGTTAAAAGTATCTGCCTCTGAGGGGTAAGCTGGGACAAAGGATGAGGACAGAGTAGAATGAATAGCATTCTTCATTTAAAAGCCTTTCAATACTGTTTGATTCTTAAACTGTGTGTGTCACTCTTTAAAAACAAAAAAAAAAAAATTAAGGAAAAGAGCATTCTCTGTAGTTACATAGATCTGGATTTGAATCTTGGAGCAACTATGTTGCTACCTATGTTTATTATTATTTTAAGCTTCCCAAGGCTTCATTTCCTCAACTGTAATATGAGCCAAATGCTTTATTACCTCTCACATTTTGGTAGAGTTCTTTAGAAACTTAATACAAGTCAAATGACTGACACATAGAAAAGCACTCAATAAAAGCTTTCTGCTTCCTCTGGTGCCTTACATTCCTCTCTGGATACCCTGACCTCTCACCCTTCATCAGTCTTTAAATCTCAGTGTGGATTTAAGTCTCCCAGGTGTGTTTGTATGTTGTACCTCACCTCTAATGTGGAATAGAAGGTTTGATCCTTATTAAAGAAAACTGAACGGGTGACCCTTGACCTTAAATACAGTTAGTTTCTTTTAGGCCTGGCTTTGCTGATGAGGAAACACTTTTTCTTCTCTGGGAAAGGAAATTTTGAGTCTCACCCGGTACTCTCAGCCACTGGTGAGAGAAAGCTTAGGTGAGAACCAGCAGCCAGCTCAGAAGGCTCTAGGATCTCCTGCTTTGTGTGTACAAACATTTCAGCCTCAAGCCTTAATCCCTTCTGCTGGTGTAATAAGATCCCTCAGTTTATGGTGAAAACTGAGCCCATGTCATTGTGACTATGAGCCCAGCTACCTGCCAACCGCAGGTGACAGCTGCACCTGTGAGGTTGGCGTGCTTCCTGCACACCCAGGGCACCTGCGGCCTCCTGTGCCCTCAGCCCTGCCCTTGTGCTGATGTCCTGGCCACACTAACTGTTGAACAGAGAAGTTGAGCGTTCTTAATGGAGGTATTTCTTCTTCTGCTGCAGAAATTGCACTATATGCAAAGCACAGGTCCAGGTACTGTGGAGGATAGAGAAATATATTTGGCCTTAAAGGCATTTACACTCTATTGGGGGAGATAGATGTTCACCACCCATTAGACAAGGAAATGAACTAGAAGGGCTATTGTGGGCTGTATATGAAATAAGTAAGGTATTGAGTTTACACGTTAGAATGCTACTTTGGAGCTTCTCACATAAGCATGCGAGCAGGTGACCCCTGGGTCAGGTGGTTATTTTTAAGCAAAAGTAAGTATTATTCAAAATTTGTGATGTTTTATTCCTGGATTGGCAGTGAGGGACAGCAGTTGGGGGTGTAGTGGGATGGTCTGTGAAAAGCCGACAGTTGGTACTGAGAACAGGGTGACCCTACAATTCATTAGCCAAATAGAGACACTTGACAGTGAAATAAGTGTAATTAATAAGCACATCAGGACAACAGGCATAAACCAAGACAGGCTTTGGCAAACCAGACACGTGGTCTTCCTAGTTATAAGTACTTAATAATTATAAAAGAAAATAGATTCAGTGACCTATGGATCTGGGTAGAACATTGTTTAAGAAAAAAAATTCCCATTCAGTCAGAACATCAAGGTTCATGCAGGTTCAAAGGTTTCCTGGTAACTCTCCAGAAGACTGATTAAGAACTACTGGCATGAGACCCCTGGTCTCTGCCTACATATTTCCTCTTCAGAAAGATTGCTCTAAGGGCTCAGGTTTTACCAGTGACCAGCATCCATCCACCCCACTGGTTAGGGTTCCTGAAAGAGCTTCGCTGCCTGAGTTTTGACCAAGGAGCTGCGTAAAAATTAAGTATAGGCTGCTCCTCTGGTCCTTTGGCTTCCTTTGCAGGGAAACCAATTCAAGGTTTGTTTTGGTTTGGTTTATAACTGCCTTATCAAATGCCCTCCCACTTTTCAGAGAACTACCAGCCTCTCTTCTAACATTTCTTTTCAAAGAGGAACTCTTATTCCAAAATCACTTCACAGTGATTTCACAGAGTAGGAAAAAAAACATATACTCTTTTTTTTAACTTTTTAAAAATTAAGTTTATTGGGGTTACATTGATTAATACAATTATATAATTTTCAGATGTACATTATAACTTGACATCTGTATATTCTATTGTGTGTTTACCACCCAAAGTCCAGTTTCCTTCAGCTACCATATATTTGATCCCCTTTACTCACTTCACCCTCACCCAACCCCTCTATATTTGACCC